AAGCAGCTGGTTACAGAAAGATACTCTGGTGGCGGTAGTGGCATTAGAGAGCACATACTGAGAATGAACAATCTGGCATCTAAGCTCAAACCAATGGATTTGGCACTCAAGGATGAGTTTCTTATTTATTTGATTTTTGCTTCTTTGCCCAAAGAATTTGACACCTTTGTTGTTAATTACAACATAAAGCCTCAAAAATGGGATTTAGAAAAGCTCATAGCCATGTGTGTGCAGGAGGAGGAAAGAATAAAAGTTTCACAAGGTGGTTCTGTCAACTACCTAAAAGATAAGAAAAAGAACTATAATAACAGTTCTTCCTCCAAGTTATCTGGAAAAGGTCCCATGCAACAGTCTCAGAACAACCAATTCCCAGTGGCTAAAGATCAATGTCTCCACTGTAAGAAGACAGGACATTATAAGAAGAATTGTCCTGATTTCCTAAAGATGATAATGAAAAATAAAGGTGAGAACATTATTACGTTCGTAAATGAATCCTTGTATGTAAAGTTTTCAAAATCTACTTGGTGGATTGATTCAGGTGCAACTATTCATGTTGCTAATTCATTACAGGGATTCCGTTCGATGAGAACTTTGTAAAGAAGCGAAAGTTTCATTAAAGTCGTAAATGGAGTACAAGCAAATGTTGAGGCCGTTGGAGATCTTCCTCTAGAGCTTCCAGATGGCTTCATACTTTTTCTTAGAGATGTTCTTTATGTACCTTCTTTGCAAAGAAACATGATTAGTGTATCAAAGTTGGACCATGATGGTTATGATTGTCATTTTGGAAATGGCAAATGTCAGATATTGTTTAATAATAAATGTGTTGGTCTTGCCTTCCGACAAGACGAGCTTTATTTGTTATCACTTCGTGAAAATGTGAATTCCGTATGTGATGTGAATGAAAATGTATCCTCATCGAACAATGGAAAAGTAAAACGAAAGAGAGCTCACGATGCGTTGTCGAAATTATGGCACTGTCGTTTAGACCATATTTCGAGGGGGAGAATAGAAAGACTAGTTAAGAATAATATTCTTCCTCCATTAGACCTCTCAGGTTTAGAACAATGTAGAGATTGCATAAAAGGAAAGTATGTAAAAAAAATTAAGAAAGATGCCAAACGAAGGCGTAGGAATTCTCTGATTATTCACACGGACATATATGTGGTCCTTTTCCTGTGAAAGTGTGTGGATGGTTATGATTCATTCATAACATTCATGAGACGATTACTCTCGGTTTGGCTACATTTATCCAATTAAAGAAAGAACGAAGCGTTGGATAAATTCAAAATATTTAAAAGCGAAGTTGAAAATCAGCATGATTTAAAGATTAAGATAGTCGTCTCGACCGTAGGGAGAGTACTACGGTCGGCATACCCCATATGGATAAGTTCCTAGACCTTTTGCAAGGTTTTTACAGGAGAATGGTATAGTCGTCAAAGATTCAACACCAGGCGAACTCGGTGCAGAATGGAGTATTTGAAAGGCGAACTGCACTCTCGATGGATATATGGCGTAGTATGATAAGTTACTCCACTTTACCCATGAGTCTGTGGATGGAGGCGTTAAAAGCGCCATTCATATTCTCAATAGCGTACCAAGTAAGTCGGTGCCCAAAACACCGTATGAGTTGTGGACAGGAAGAGTACCCTCACTTAACCACTTGCGTGTGTGGGGGAGCCCTGCTGAGGCTAAAGTTTTTAACCCAAACATTGGGAAGCTAGATCCCAAAACAGTGAGTTGTCATTTCATTGGCTACCCAGAAAAGTCAAAAGGTTTTTGTTTCTACTGTCCTAACAGACAAAGTTTGTGGAAACGAGACACGCTGTCTTCCTAGAGGATGAAATGATTAGGGGGAGCATGGTAGCTCGAGAAATTGACCTCAAAGAGAAGCAGGTGTATGCACCCACTCCAATAATTCATGAGCCATTTTTCTCACTACCTGTTGTTGCTGCACCGACAGTACAAGACACTGTGGTGCCAGCACCTGTTGTTATCCCGCCTGTGGCAACAATGAATGATGATGAGGAACATGTGCCTCAGGATCCTATAGAACCTATTGCCACACATGAGGGGGAGCAACAACAGCCTCAAACAAAAAAATGTGCCAAATGAGGAGGCCCCTCGAAGGTCTCAAAGAGTTAGAAAATCAGCTATTCCTGCTGATTATGAAGTGTACAACACTGAAGAATTTCAAATGGAGGATGATCCCACCTCATTTAAAGAAGCCATGAAAAGTGATCATTCATCAAAGTGGCTTGAGGCCATGGAAAATGAAATGAGATCAATGAATGCAAATAAAGTTTGGGATTTGGAGATAATTCCTAAAGGAGCCAAAACAGTAGGCTGTAAATGGGTCTACAAAACAAAACTTGACTCTCAAGGGAATATAGAGAGATATAAAGCCCGACTTATGGCAAAAGGCTTTACACAAAGAGAAGGAATTGATTACAATGAGATCTTTTCTCCAGTCTCATGTAAGGATTCCTTCAGAATCATAATGGCATTAGTGGCACATTACGATTTGGAATTACATCAGATGGATGTAAAGACGGCATTTCTCAACGGAGACTTAGAGGAAAATGTTTACATGGCACAACCGAAAGGTTTTGTCGTGGAAGGAAAAGAACGTTTGGGATGCCGCCTAAAGAAATCTATTTATGGATTAAAACAAGCTTCAAGACAGTGGTACTTGAAGTTTGATCAGACAATAAAGAATTTTAGGTTTAAAGATAATGTTGAGGACAATTGTGTCTACGCAAAGTTTAAGAATAGGAAGTTTATCTTCCTTGTCCTGTATGTGGATGATATCTTACTTGCTAGTAGTGATGTCAGTCTACTACTGGAGACAAAGAAGTTTTTGTCCTCAAAATTTGATATGAAAGATCTTGGTGAAGCTTCGTTCGTTTTAGGGATCGAGATTCACCGAGATAGAAGTAAAGTGGTATTAGGACTATCACAAAAGGCATATATAGAAAAAGTCTTAAAGAAATTCAGTATACACAAATGTAGTCCCTCACATGCTCCTATAGTCAAGGGCGACAGATATGGGGATTTTTAATGCCCTAGGAACCAATATGAGATCGATCAAATGAAAGTGGTTCCATATGCTTCAGCTGTCGGAAGCTTACAATATGCTCAAGTGTGTACGCGTCCTGACTTGGCATTTGTTACCGGGTTACTTGGCAGATTCCAGAGCAATCCTGGAATAGAACACTAGAAATTGGTAAAGAAAGTCTTGTGTTATTTGCAAGGAACGAAAGGCCTCATAATGACGTATAGAAGATCCGATTCACTCCATATAGTGGGATATTTGATTCGATTATGCGGAGATAATAGAAAATCCACGCCCGGATATGTGTTCACTCTCGCAGGGGAGCTATTTCATGGAAAAGCTCAAAGCAAAAATCACTATATCGTCCACAATGTATGCCGAGTTTGTAGCGTGTTATGAGGCAACGGACGGATGTGAACGGCTAAAGAAGTTCATACCCGGTTTAAAGGTGGTTGGCGACATCAATAGACCATGAAGTTATATGCGATAATAATCCAAAGAAGACAAAGATGCTCACAACAATAGGTCAAGTGGTGTCGCCAAACACATTGACATAAAGTATTATGTTGTGAAGGATAAAGTCCGGGATCAAATGATAATTCTTGAGCATATAAGTACCGAAAAAAGATGCTCATGGATCCGCACATAAAAGGCTTACCACCCAGCGTGTTCGAGAGAACATGTAGCCGGCATGGATTTAAGGGAAAGCCTATGATTCCGGACTATAAAGGGCCCAAAAGTTAAAGTAACTATTTCGGATCGTAGAGACGTGCATTGTAGTCATTAAATCTATCGGCGATTGACCGTGACGATGAGACATGCTTTATGCATCATCTGTGAAGAAATGAGTAAGGATAAAAGGATTGAAGTTTAAAGTTTAAAGATAAAAGTAATAGTGAGATCAAGGGGGAGAATGTTAGATTGATCTCCTAACCAATAAGCCAAACGGTCTATTGGGCCTTGGTCACGCAGCATACGATCGGGGCGCCCAACCCTACATGGTTGGTGAGCCCCGACGCGATCGCGCTATATAAAGAGGTGAAATTTGGCGGCTCAAAGCATGAGGTTCGGCCGTGAGCCGCAAACCCCACCGACAAACCCTAGACCGATCTAAGAGGGCGCTGACCCGGTGACGGAAGCTCGCCGACTCGCCCGTCGTCCATCACTACGCCCGTCTCGTGACCGCATCGACGTCCGGTGCAACCTCTACTCCACCGTTCTTTGCCTGCAGTGTCTTGCCTCCATCAACGAACCAAGCGATGGCCAGCTCAATCTGCGACTTCATCCGAAGGCTCAGGTTCAACACCAGCACCTCTACCCTATCTCCCACTCCCTGCTTGTTCTAGTTCATCATGTTCAACAGCAAACCGACTAGATCTACCCTAGTTGATCCTCAGAATTTACAGTGTGCACTCATGTAGTCATGTGAAGATGTGATGCATGCACGGCTAGTGAATTGGGCCGGGCGCACGCACAAGTCGTGTGGCTTTCGATCGAAGTTTCGATGTTGAAAGGCGGCATTGCAACCAGCCAGTCACACACTCACACTCACACAGCGCGCCGCCGCGCCCAAACAAAGTCAGCGATCGATCACCTGACAATCGCGTCGGCCATCCGATTTCTTATTCTGAATGAGGATTTACATCAGTGTTTAATTTGTCACGAAAAAGAGGCCATCGTCGTCAAGATATAACTAATGAACCCATTTGCCACGGTGAATTTTATAAATAATTAATAACCCGTCGATCCTGCCGTCAGATCGTCGATGCACGCGCGCGCGTACTACATTTTGTGGCGTCGTCGTCCCATTGGACAGTAGTACAAGAATAGCCACGGTAGCCCGTGGGCTGTCTGTTGGCCCAGCTAGCTGTTGCATGCACACAGACACTGCCAGCCGCGCGCGCCTGGACCAAAATGATGAGCGCGGCTGGATGAGACGATCAGTCGATCACACCGGCGCCAGCCCGTGCTTGAGCGCCGCGTTCCAGACGACGTCGATCCGGTCGACGTCGATGGCGCCCACCTCGTGGTGGTCCCATCCTTCGAGGAAGTGCACGACGCCGCCGGCGTGGCACGCGTGCACCACCCCGCGCTCCATCGTGTACTCGCAGGAGCCGAGGCCCTGCACGTCCTTGGGCAGCCTCATGGCGGCCAGCTTGCCGTAGGTGCAGTCCCGCCGGAAGCCGATGATGGGCGGCACCACGAACTGGTGGAAGTGCGTCCCCGACGGCGCCCACCGCTGCTCACGCGGCGACAGCCACTTGCCCACGATCCACGTCTGCAGAGGCGTTACCGTATATTATCTGTTCATCATTAACGTGCAGGGCGCAACAATGCAAGCGCAAAGGTTCATCATGGAAACACTGTGCTGTACCTTGCAGTTCTGTGCGGCCTGGTACTTGGTCACCTGCACGAGGTACTGCTGGAACTCCGCCGGCGCCTCCCTCTGGATCTTCACGAACCTCTCCGACGACATCGTGAACATCTGAGATTGACGTACGCAACAGGTTTAGCGTCTGTCCATACCATGGCGAGTCTGAGATCACTCGTATCGATCGATGCCGAGTACAGTGGCGCATGTGTATTACCAGGACTCTGATCTTCTTCCTGCAGAGGTAGAGCGCGATGGCCCTGCCGAGCTTGGAGGTGGCGCCGGTCATGAACACTTCCTTCACGTTGCTGGGGATCTCGTTCAGGATCACGGCCGCCGTCAGCGTGTTGCCGTGCACCACCCTCACCCGCAGGTCCGGGTGCTTGTTCACGAACAGGGTGCCGCCTCCGTTCAGCGCCTCGTTCTGATATGTGATATAGATGGATACAGAGACAGACAGACAGACACAGTACAAAATGAGATGCTTCAAGATGAAAACTGTTCCAAGCTGCGCTCCAAGATTCAAACATGGATATTAACTCGCGGTAGATTATTTTGTATTACTACTCCGCACTGTGTATACGTGGCCCATGCGTTTCTAGCTAGGCGAGCCATGAGGGGTTTCTCACATGCAAAATAAACCTGCGGTAAAATTAGGGTACGTTTGAAGCACAAGAATTTCATAGGAAATGCGAAGTAATCAGTTCATTTCACAGAAAAAAGACAGGAACGGAGGAAAATCCCGCGTTCCAAACATGCCTTACCGCGTTAAAAATGCGGCAGGCGCAATACTGACACCCCGATTGGATTCCCATGCCATGAACGAGAACGATCCGTCACGGACTCGAGGCACGAGTACAGTACAGCATGACCCACGGCCGCACCTGCTGCCACGCGCGCTTCCCGTGATCTGGGTGGCCGGTCCACTGGCGTCCGCGGCGGTGCGCGACAAGGACGGCGGGCCAGCGGCAGGTTCCGTCGCTTTCCCCCGCGCGCCAGTCGCCGCCTCGCCCGGTCGACATCAATGGAGGCTGTTGCACGCGCCCCTGGGCAGCCTCTCCTCCACACACACACGCTGACACGGCCTACGGCCACGCGTTTCGTCGCGTCCTCGCGTGGCGTGGCCATCTCGCCGTCGCCGGCCCTTCAATTCATTGCGCCCACATGCATGCATCCCCGTCGAGTAGTTGGAGGATGGATACCAACACCACTCATCTCTCGCACTCGCAGCCAGTACTGTACAGGTACTGTACTGTACTGCTGCTTGTCCATACGGGCCCAACGAGTTGGACCGCAACACGTGATGGGCAACGGAGTGAGGGCCGGGTCATCGCGCGCGTCGCATGATCAATCAAAGCGCGACGAAAAACGAAGCAGGCAGATGGGACACAGCTACGCTACCTCATACGTACTCCTATACTGTATGATTATGCATGGGTTGGGGTTGGGTGTGCAACCTGTAATAAACGAGAGCGGCTAGTATTTTTCTCTCATAATAAATCAGTTTTATTTGGTTTATCAGCCGCAGAAACCATCATCAGCTCTGCTCCTCAGCAGCTGTTTGGCTCATTTGTCGTAAGAGAAAAACACCGTAACATATATGATAAATTCAGTCGAACATGGCGTGAGCTGACCTTGTTGAGCGCGGCGAGGCTGAGCACCTTGACGCCCATCCTGTCGGCCCGCAGGATGGCCAGCTCGATCTGCTTGTTGATGCCCTTCTTCGCCGCCGGCAGGAAGTACTGCACATCACATCACATCGGCACCGTTCAATTCCGGTGACATCCGAATGAAGCAGCCAGCGGCGGACATACAAGCCGGCGCCATTAATGAGCAAAGCAAGCTCGTAGTACCTGGAAGCCGTAGCGGGGCACGGACCAGGTCTGGTGGAGCTGGCCGCGGAGGCAGTAGAAGCTGACGACGAAGGTCTTGGAACAGCACCACATGAGGAGCATGAAGAAGAAGGCCAGCGGCCAGAACGGGAGCAGGTATAAGTGGTTGGCGAACGGCCTGGCGCTCAGCGACCGCAGCGTGAACGGCACGTGCATCGACGACATGATGTCCACCACGTGCACCAGGAACACGAACCCCGGCGTGCCCAGCGCGCCGCCGCCCGGCTCGCCGTCGTACGCGGCCCGCTGCAGCGACCACGCGCGCTCGTCCAGCGTCCCGCCCAGCCAGTCCAGCGCCGGCATGAACAGGCAGAAGTTGCCGCGCCGCTCGCGGTGGTGGAGGCTCAGGTACCTGCCACAGGTGCAACCGATCGAATTAGAGTTGACGAAATAATTAATTACTGCTAACTTTTAGTTACCCCTACGTACAGTAATCACCATCAGGTTGGTGGTCAGAGCAAAATCCATGGCGACAGACAGCTTAGGAAAAGGATGATGACTGCCGCGAAATAAATGACACTTGCAATTTGCAATGCAACTATGCAAGATTCCGGTTCCTTGTCAAGTTTAGGTGTCCCCCACAGCTTCATTAATTTCGGCCTGTTTTGGTCCTTCGTTCTCCTAGGATCCTATCCTACTAGCTGCTGTCGTGTCACAATGCATACTACTACTCTTAACACTGTTAACACATAACAGGACGTTAATTAATTTCTTTTGTCTGTCATGTCAACGTCTATGGAGATAACAATCAGTCTGTTCGTTTGTTGGTTTCAACCAGGGCTTATCAACCAATCAATAGTGTTTTTCTCTCACAACAAATCAGCACCAGCCAAGCTTATCAGCCCAGAAACCAACTAGCGAACATGCTGAATATCTATAATAATTTTCTATAACATTTGTTAAATATAAAACCTTCATTTAATCTATACTTAAGATTATACTATCTGTTTGGAAGGAGGTAGTCTCTCTCTATAATAATGTTAAGCTTTTCTTTACGGTAGTGTAGTGTAGTGTACTCACGAAGGTGTGTAGAGGATGTATCTGAGCAGCGGGAACGCTTCGAAGACCCTGGGCGACACGACCTCGACGTTGCTGTAGCCCATGGCGCGCAGGTAGTCGAACGCGAGGGCGTGCACGTAGACCAGGCCTATGGACCCGGCCCCCACCAGGAAGGCCCCGCCAGCGGGGCCCCCATCACCAGAGTCAGCAGCAGCACCTCCAGCGGCGTCCCGAACCCGGCTGCAAGCAACAAATGCAATGAAAGTACGAACTCCTATTATTACTGTATCGATCAATAATAATTGCGCAATGATCGCCGTCGCCGCACCTGTCAACGGATGGGTGACTCCCGAGGAGTGGTGCGCGGCGTGGTAGCGGCCGAAAAGCGGGGCCCCGTGTAGGGCCCGGTGGGCCAGGTAGAAGACCGGCTCTGAGAAGCCCACATGCAGCAGCAGGGCGACGGCCCACCCACGGGCGTCCCACAGGCAGACCTGCCGCAGGCCCGGGAGCAGTGGGCTGTTGACCACCGTGGCCCCAATCAGCGTTTGCAGCACCAGAAAGTTGTCCCTGCGGGGGCGGGGGCCACGGTCAGGAACAGTCACTGACACGTCACAAGACTCACAAGCCGCCTCCAGGCTCGAGTCCGGACAAATACATAGAGTTACCGAATTACAGTCACTGACACGTCACAAGACTCACTGTGCGAAGAATTACAGCAACCGATGATATGCAGACTACTACTGTGGTTTTTGTTATTGACGTGCAGACAGCTTTGATTATTATAGAGCAAGTACTCCTACAGTAAATTCTTTTTTTACCTAAGTATGGTGAGATGAAAATGGAGAGAGAGAAAGTAGTACACTTATAGAAAAAAAGGAAGGAAACAATATATTTTGGGGCCTTCAAACTCCTAGGATCGACGACTGCGAAAATCAAAATGAGGTCCCGTTTGTTTCGCTGAAAAAACTAGACAAAACACTGTTACGACTGATTTATTGTGAGAGAAAAACATTGTTTCAACTAAAAAAAGCTAAAAAAGATGAATTATAAGATAATCGAATAGGGACTGAGCAGATGCAGCTAGAGTCGTAGAAGCTACTAGCTCAACTGCTATAGCCGTAGTCGTTGCATCGATACAAAGTGTGCCCCATCCACACATTTTGGATGACTCCAGACTCCAACAAAGCTTGTTTGGTGCCGCAAGACGGAAGGAAGATGCCCATGCAGCTGCAGCCAGAGACTGAAGAAGGTAACGGGTGCAGTCTAGTCTATACACATGCATACACTCACCAGTCCCACTCGGCGTCGATCTGGCGGAAGTCGACGCCGTCGGCGACGACGCGGCGGCGGCGGGTGAAGAAGAGCATGTTGCCGTACGTGAACCAGAACTGGTAGGTGAGCCCCCGCACCACGAAGAGCAGCAGCAGGTGCAGCCACCAGGAGCCCAGCGCCAGCGGCAGGCCCCCCTGCTCCCGCCATTCTTGCACCACCTTCCACACCAGAGGCCCCAGCACCGCGTACTGCATAGCATATATGTGCACAAACATGCATGTCAACAAAGAACTACTTGTAGAAATAAACAGGATTAGTTACAAAGATGCATGAACATGCATATATATATATATATATATGCACAAAAGTGAAGGGAAGGAAGGGAGAGTCGAGCGTTGTTGCCTTGTAGTTGCCGAGGCTTGCCCATGGCCAGGAAGAGAGGGGAGCAGCCATGGATGCTGGTTCTGGCCTTTAGAGACGAAAGAGGCAACACGGTGCACTGTCTAAAGTACTGGAGGAGGCCAGCCGGGAGAGAGAGAAACAGACACGTACACCTATGTGTAGTCGTGCTTGGCTGCTCTCTTCGTCTCTCCTCTGCGTGCTCCCGGCCGGACGCCACACACTGCCTAGTACTTATAAGCAGAGGAGGGGAGGGTGGTGGTGGTGGTGGTGGCAGTGGGCAAAACAAAGACAACCAGCGGGGCCAGCTCGCAGTCGCAGTTCATCACAACGCAAAAATCTTAAAGGCGGCGATGATGGACATCTATCCAGCACCGGAATTTCTCTGCCATTATTCGACCAGCAGCAGCCGTCTTAACTTAACCATGGTTAGCTGTTGTAATAATATAAGGGTTTTATAGTACTAGGAGGGAGTATCCAACATGGTTCATCATCACTAAGTCAGCAGGTTGTTTGTTAGCCGTTGAGGTCAGGTCATGGCGGCAACGCAAAAGAAGTCAAACGTTTGTTAGGTGTAACTGATATACTACACACACGGCATAGAAACCGACTACCCATGGGTGCAGTGCAGTGCGGCCATGATGGCGCGGTTAGCTGGCGAGTTATCGGGCGGGCCGCCGACGGTGCCGTCCTTGTCCGGCGACGTACGCACGCACGCGGTGGTTGCAGCTCGATCGACGACGACCGACCGGGCGGCGGGCGGGCGGTCTGTCATCGGTCGTCGGAAAAGCGGAGCGCCATGGAAGAACGAACCGGTGCAACACCGTAGGAAAGGTGGCTCGTCATGCCGTTTCTGACCAAGACCGGTGGAGGTGGAAACCGCCGGGATCAGGATCAGGATCACGATCAGCACTCAGCAGCAGTGTCTGCCGACTGCCGGCGCGGGGTGGTTGCGTGCGTGGTGGCCGATTGGTTGGTTGCCGCAGCCGGGCGGGCAGTTGGCTGGCTGGCTGGCTGGATCGCGGTGCCCGTGCTGGGCGCGCCTGCCGACGGTAGTAGCCGCCCGCAGGTGGCGTGCACTTGCGATGTCTGGCCCTGAATGAAGCGAAAAGGACGGTGGCGTGGCATCCGATTCCGATCGGAGTGGCGATCGATCGGCCGGCGCGTCGTCGTGCCCGTGTCTTCGTCGTCTGCCGTGAACAGTGCTGGCTAGCTCCGGCGGGCAGGCGGACCGCATTACGTAACGTGTACGTACGCGCCTGTATGTGTGTATGTATTATTGCGGTACGCTATTATGTCAGATCATGCATGCATATCACGGCCTCGCATGTGAGCCGCCCATGTCTTGTCGTGCTCACACCCGGCCCTCCCTCCGGCCCCCAGCCTGCTGAAGCTGCAGCCTGCAGCAGGGCCGGGCCGGAGCCTACGCCGGGGACACAGTGCTGGCGTGGGCACCGCGGCGTGGTATGAGCCGTAGCAAACGACGCCTCTTTAAGCCTGCTGTGTACTGTGCAGTAGTATACCGTCCGTCCGTCCCCTTTCCCCGACCGGCGACCCCGGCGTCCGTGAACAGGACCTGTTAGGCGTACCTAGCAGTGGCCAGTAGTAGAGCAGCAGCCTGTTCGTTTGGCTGGTTCGTTTCGTTGCTAGTTCGTGAAGAAGTACTGTTAGCTAGTTTATGTGAGAGAAAAATATTGTTCCGACTAAAAATTTACGATCATTTACAACGAGCCGCAGCCGCAGCCAAAGAGGCCGCGCGCCCGCCCGCTCGCTCGTCGGTTATTAATGCGGGGGGCCGCCGCCCGCGCGCGGGCTCCCCACCAGCCACCAGATCTCGTACCGTTCCACCAGCCGGCCCGAGCGCGATTGGCTGTCCGCCTGTCTGTCCCAGTCCGCGCCCGCGCGGCTGTGGACGCGCGCGACGCGAGCGCGGTCGTCATCCTGCGACTGCGACCACTGCCGTGCGCCCGTGCGACCCGGCCGGCGGCCGGCCGTCGGGTCTTCTCAATTATTCGCATGCATGATGATGCGTGCAGTGCAGGTGTGAAGCTCTCCAGCTGCTGGAGCTAGCTAGCCCTCTCATCGGCCCTGATGCGTAGCATAGTACACGCAGTGCAATAAATAGCCATGCGTTGCCCCGGGGGGCGGGGGGGACGCAACTGAGATATTGCTTAATATTGTTGCTCGCATGTAATTTTTTTACTTGAATAAAATTATGTATAGTTGACATAGTTGTGTTTGTTAGATGTGCGGGATGTCTCTATATAGGATTCGTGCACCAAAAGCGGGCAAACCATCGTGCCACGACGCCCGCTAAGCCGAGAGCCGTTGGATCAGGCGAGAAAGTGATCTGGTCCGTTCGATTGCGGATCGGTCGGGTCTCGTACCCGCTTTATCGTCAACCCGAGCCAACGCGGGCCGATACTTTGCCCGCTCCCACACCTCCCTCCTCCTCCCAGCGCGGGCCGGGTGCGGGCGCGGCGTTCCGGCGAGGGTGGCTGCCCAAACGGCCCCCGCGACCTTGGCTCGGGCAGGGGTGCGGGCGTGGCGGCTCCGGCCACCTCAGAGCAAGCGGGGGCGCGGGCACGGCAGCTGCGGCCACCCCGGCGCGGACGTGCGGCTCGAGCACGCCAACCCCGGCGGCCCCCCTCCCACGGCGACCCCGGCGCAGCGCTACATGCAGCAAAAGGCGCGAGCGGTGGGTCGGGCGGACGCCAGAGGCAGGTTAGCAGCGCGACGCTGCGAGCCGGACGCACCACTTTGAATGCTCTTTGATGTGGATCTACGGCAGGTTTGCTCCTCCGTCCTCTCCAGAGTACAAGCTAATGAGAACTTGCACATTTGTACAAATCCATACAGAAACTTGTGAAAATCCTAGGAAAATAATTGTAGATCCAAATAATGTGAAATTAATTTTGTTAGGTTCATAACTTTATCCTCTACACGTGGAAAAATATGTTTGCATATGTTACTCTAGCCAAAAAATTCTTTATTTATTATAATGTGCAGAATTTGATAAATGCAAAAAAAATTCCCTAGGGCTCAACAAATTGCAACAACAATTTTATTGGATCTGTTGTGATGTGGCCTTACCTGGAGAAATGCATATGCACAACCATCTTTGCATTATAATGATTTATATGGTTTAGTTGCCTTATGTTGCGAAAAATATTAAATTTTTGTAGACATTAAATAGTATCTTTGCATTATGTCCTGTTGAATAGTTTGACAAAGGACTACCTGTCCTGTACCTATGACTATCATGGTTCCTCACAATTTTTGATAGACTCATACTTTATCAGAGTGGTTTGGTTTAGCAAGTGTAGAACCTAGGTAACAGGATTAACTTCTAGCTTAGGTCGGTCTTGGAAGCTTGCTTTTCCTGTCAGCTGACACTAGCTTGTATTTTATTGAACTATAGACTGCATCTAAAAATTGATTGCTTCTTGGTGTGATCATACGTGAATGATTATTTTTGCCTATGTGATCTTGGGCTTAAGGCATAATAAATCAGAACAAAGAACTTGTATTATATGTCCTTTGTCAGTTCTATTCTATATGCGGTGAGTGGCTCGGGACGTGGGAGTACGAGGACCTAGGGTTCACCGGCCTCGGCCTCTGCTTCGACTACAACGCGAAGAAGCTATGAAATGGATTTCTAGGATTAGTGGAGGATTTGTGGTGAACCTATGCTGATTGGACTATAAAATTTGAGGCTTGTCCTTAGCTCACAAGTTATATCCAGATCATGCTTAGGGTGTCTTCCTCCACGGAACAACACCACCTCAGATTGTGTGCTAGAGAGACCAAATTACCCTTGGATAATATCTATCATGTCTTGGTACTCTGTTTGCTCTTTTCTTAACGAGTCTAAGATGCTCAACCGACTATTGGCTATATTGATGACCATCAACATCTATTGATTGCTGCATATGTTTTTATACACAAATATGATCGACATTAACTAGAGTCATATATATATATATATATATATATATATATATATATATATATATATATATATATATATATATATGAGAGATAGCTTAGCTAGTAAGCAAATAATTGAACAAATGTCCATATGATCGATATTAATTATTTAACACTCACTTGAAGTTGTAGGGAAAGAGTATGTCCTTGTTTTGTTGGTTCACTACAAACCTCATGAGATTTTTCTCGAGTTCAGCTTTCCATCCAGGCGGGGGATTAGGGTGTTTGAATACGATATTTGGATCAACGAAACCAACATCATTATCCTTTCTCTTTCTGAGTTCTGTCATCTTATATATGCATATATAAAAATATAGTGTGAGGATATATAAGTTATATATATACATGTAGCTTTATATATATACACTTTAATAGTAGAAAATAATCACACTTACAGACAATAGCAGCTAATGAGACTTTTATCGAGAGAGTCCAAGTGGCATAGTTGGTGTAATTCTAAAAACTCAACATATATAACGTCATCGCCACGGAAGTAATGTTGGTTTCTAACTCTGACAAATAAAGTTCTCTCCCCGTTCACACGCCGCCATGTACCACTTGTTTAGCAGGTACATTTGCGTACCCAGTTCATCTAAGGCCTCAGGGTTGTATAGACTCTTTCCATATTCAAATTTCTTTCAAGGATCCACTTTCGGAGCAGATGGTCCTTTAGCGAGCACTTGGGCAAGGTCCAAACCGGTATCCTCGTAAAACCGAACCATTTCATCAAAATCGACGTCCGGTAAGTCTAAGTTTGAACCATATTCATTACGAATGACAAGAGGGGGGACTGATTGTTGCGATTGTTGTCCGAGTTGTGCAACACCTTTCCCTGCTCTAGTCTTTTTCTGCGCCGCCTCAAATGACTTGGTGAGAGAGCGGTCGTAGTCTGATTTTGGCAGTGTCTTTTGAGATTCCCGCTTTTTCTAGTCCACCTTCTTTCTTAGAAGATCTGGAGGTAGGTAGAAGTACAGTTTCTCCGGGTTCTCCCTCGCTTCTTGTTGTTTTCTTATTTTTTTGAAGAAACTGTTCATATCTTTTTGTACTGCAGCTGCAACATTTAATTCCTTTTTACTTTTCTCGTAAGACAGTTTTTGGGGAATAACTAGATTAGAGGAGGCTTTCCTCTTTGCCGGCTGGTGGGCCAACGGCTTCGTTTGCGGGGCGGACCTCTTAGGAGCTGGCTGCTTCTTGGTCATCAAGGGAGGCGGGGCAACCGTTGGAGACCTTAGAGGCGTTGGAGACCTCCTTGGAGGTGGCGGCGGTGGCAGCGTTGCCACCTGATTGCTTGAAGCACTATGATGATCTGGAGATTGAATAATTAGACTTAGGTTGGCGGAGGCCCTACTGTGTGAGTACAAAAAAGAATAATTAGGTATAAGAATTGTTATTATTAATCATGCACGTCAATAGAAAATTAGTGAAAATTTGTTTCGTTCACTTTTGTCCGCACCTATTGTCTGGCAGTTGAGGAAGCGGCGGTGGACTAGAGACCCCGGGAATAATGATGTAGCGCTTTCGTCATAGTATGAATGTCTTCTCTGCTTCTCCTTGAGTCTTCTCCCCATCACCTCCTGAAATGTCAAGAGCCAGATCACTAAAACCTTTGTTAACTCTATCCACTGAGACGCTACCATATCCAGGTGATATTATTGCCCCATGGATTCTTGGTGTCTTGGTAGGATCTGGAGGAGAAAAAACACCGAAAGCCACCATGATTGTGGCATTACCTTTTGGAATATGTAGCTCACATGATGTAAACGGTGCAGTGATGTCATCCATGGGGAAACGTAGCATTGCGTCATCTTGATTTGGCAACTCCATGGAAGCACAGCTGTTTTCAACTGGTCAGGGGT